CTCTACAACTGAAATGCTGACTTTTATTCCCCTACGTGGTAGGAAACTGGGTGACTTAAAAGACCCGGTGTGCTTATGCCTCCATCACCACCTTCTGTTGGGAGGACTTGGGGGAGGGGGGTTGGAGAGAGGGGAGACGAGAAGAAACCTGCACTTGATTTCTACCCCTTGGCAACTGCAAAGTGGAAAGTTCAGTGAAGCGGGGTCGGAACGAATCTGTTGAACAAGGACAAGCAAAAATGTCGGGAAGCTGTGTGAATCTAGTCTTTTAAAAGAATGGGCCTGAGATAAGAAAAGAAAACCAGTGAAGGTCCCTTCAGCCAGTTTGGTGTCGTGGTCTGAGTCTCGGGCAGGGAGACCTGGGTTCAAATCCCCAACATGCCCTGAAACTTGTTAGGTGATGTTGGGCCAGTCGCTCTTTCTTGGCCTACTCATGCTACAGGGTTGTTGTGAGGGCAAAACACATAGTCCTTGGAGGAAAGACAGGATAAAAATATACCAGATAGCTCAAAGAGATGGGTGGTTATTAAAGAAAGGCAGAACAATGGACAGCACAGTGTTTTTTCATGGAACAGTGAGGTGAAAGGAGGGATTCACCTCCTGCTGCTGTAATCCATTTGGCCTACTGAACGAAGGCCTGTCAGGGATAGTTTGTGGAAATGCGCTGGAGAAGTCCAAATGGAATGGCTTGGGCAGCTCCTCTACGGTGTTTTCAACAGGGATGAGCTGTAAAAAGGCACAAAGGAGAGGGGAACGTTTTAGGAGACCTCAGGAAGAAGTGGGAGGAGACGTTTACAACTTTAATGGGTTCTCACAATACATTTTTCTACATAGGCACAGATACCCAACCAAGTACAAATATGTAGAAGCAGCAGCTGCCAGGAGGAAGGAGGGCAGAAAGGTACGGCCTGAACTTGTCAGATTTCAGAAGCTAAACAGAGTCAGTACTCAGATGAGGGGCCACCAAGGAAGGCTCTTGAGAGGAAAGCAATGGCAAAAGCACTGCACTGGCTGCCAATAGCATACTAAATTCGGTTCAAGGTGCTGGTACTTACCTTCAAAGCTCATTACGGCCAGGGGCCTACTTACCTAAGGGACCGCCTTTCCCCACATGTTCCCCAGAGAGCACTACGATCAGGGTCCCAAAATCACTTGGCTCTTCCAGGCCCCAGAGGAGCCAGGCTAGCAGTGACAAGGGCCAGGGCCTTCTCAGTGGCGGCTCCATAGTGGTGGAATGAGCTCCCGGAAGACATCAGGGCCCTGTGGAACCTCTTGCAATTCCGCAGGGCCTGTAAAATGGAGCTCTTCCACCAGGCCTTTAATTAGGGAGCTGCATCCATCTACCTGAGGCCCTGGCCCCAATATTAACAATATTACTTCAAACACTAACATCAATATTACACCAACTTGAATAGCCTGTGCTCCGCTGATACGACCCAGGCCGTGTTGCCAGCTGACTGTCGGATGCCTGCCATCGTTATATTGTACTAGCACTTTATGTATTGTTTTAGGTCTATTTCATGGCAATCTTATTTAATTTAACTGTTTGATCTTGTTATAATACGGTGTAAGACGCCCTGAGCCTGCTTCGGTGGGGAGGACGGGATATATAAATTAAATAAATAAGAACATAAGAACATAAGAGATGCCAGTGTTGGATCAGGCCAAAGGCCCATCCAGTCCAACACTCTGTATCACACAGTGGCCAGAAATACCAGTGCCATCAGGAGGTCCACCAGTGGGGCCAGGACATTAGAAGCCCTCCCACTGTTGACCCCCCCAAGCACCAAGAAGACAGAGCATCATATCACTTGCCCCAGAGCCCCTATCTATACCTTGTGGCTAATAGCCACTGATGGACCTCTGCTCCAAATGCTTATCTAATTCCCTCTTGAAGCCGTCCATGCTTGTAGCCGCCACCACTTCCTGTGGCAGTGAATTCCAAGTGTTAATCACTCTTTGGGTGAAGAAGTACTTCTTTTTATCCGTTCTAACCCGACCGCTCAGCAATTTCATGGAGTGCCCACGAGTTCTTGTATTGTGAGAGAAAAAAAGTACCTCTTTCTCTACCTGCTCTTTCCCATGCATAATCTTATAAACCTCAATCATGTCACCCCTCAGTCGTCGTTTCTCCAAGCTAAAGAGCCCTAAGATCCTTAATCTTTCCTCATAGGGAAAGTGTTCCAACCCTTTTATCATCTGAGTTGCCCTTTTCTGCACTTTTTCCAAAGCTATAATATCCTTTTTAAGGTGTGTTTTTTTAAGGTTTAATAATAAATAAATAAATAAACCACTCCCGCTTCTCTCTCGCCTTGAAAACGCCCTGCTGGCGTCGCCATGTTGGCTGTGACTTGATGGCATTTTACACACACGCACACAGCTACCAGGAAAGGAATGGGACACACTTTTATGTAGTTTTAAGGGGGAAATGGCAAATTATGTACTCACAAGATCTTCACAAGTGACCTGGGGTCTTTTCATACAGATGTTTCCCACAGTTCGGGTGCTGAACCACAGCGTTTTTCCCCCTCAGAGTCTCCTCACAACGTTGTTTCCCATTTGCTGTTATTTCCATGGTTTCTTCATAATTTCTCCACGCTTTCTTAAACCGCCTTTGATTTTGAGAAAGCACGGAGGAACAATAAAGGGAACCATGGAAAGACAACAAATAGAAAACAACGCTGCAAAGAAACTCGGAGGAAAAAAGCCACTGCGGTTTACCAACCAGCTTGCAGGGAACTCTCTCTAATGAAGACTCCTGGTACGTTTGTTAACTTGTTGTAAGCCGCCCTGAGCCTG